CCCTACATTACTTAAGCATCAGAATCAAACAACTTACTCATGCATATTAATGAACGACGGGAATTTCACGTTAAACACTCAATCCTCTAGGGTAGTTCAAAGCTGATTCATGACGAAATACTGTTCTAGATACGGACAAACGAGAACCACAGACAGCGCCAAACTATAGCAAAGAAACTTATCTGATTCATATATATATGTTTAATTATTAATAAACGGTAAAAGTTGATTGCATGCAGCAAATTGCTTGAACGTACAATATACGAATAATATACAAAGCATATGCAAGATTAAGAAGGCAACAGCTCAAATTAGCATTGCCACCCACAACGCGTATCCTGTTTATCCAATTTATTTTTTCTCTCAGCGATTTGATTTGTATAGCAATATTTCGCACAATAATTCTTTAGCCAATCACTCGTTTCGCTGAAAATTGGCCTCTAACGTTTTATCCTTGTTGATCAGAACGGCTAAAGTTTTTTCTGATCCTCAGTACGTGTTTGCAAAATCTCGAAACGCTCGTAAGAACTTAAGTACGCAAGCGTGAGAACCACGTGGCCGGTATCTTTTCAGTACTGGACATCGTCAATAGGCTCAGCGACGTGCGATCCATTCAGATAAGCGAGTTACAGTACTCAGACTAATAGACAAACCTGAAATGTTGTGCAGGCTATGATGTTAAGGAAGAAATTGAGCACTGACGTCTTAACATAAGAACGACAAAAGAAAAAGCTGTTTTTGTTTATGGTCACTGAATGACCCATTTTCTTCAAAATAAAAGGTTGAAACGAGCAAGCGAGTGATAGTTCCATCGGAGTCATGAAATTCAGCATGGACTTGAGCATGAAGTACCTCGTGCTTCTGTTAGTGGTCGCCCAGGTTCTCATTTCGTGGTCAGATGAAGCTATTGGTAAGCATAATCATGAGTTGTGCGTTGACCGCGTGACATGTTCTTTTAGTGAGAAGCGATTTTCCAGTAGTACTTCGACAAAAGCGTCAGAGGGGATATGGATATCACGGTGGTAGGTATGGATACGGTAGAGGATATTATGGCGGACGATATGGTAGAGGTGGATATGGCCATTACGGCGGTCATCATCACCACCACCACCATCATCACCACTAATAGCCTGGTCGAGATTTTTCTTCTACTAGTAGCTGCATACATGTGCATAGACAACGAACAGACGAGCGGCTACCTACTAATTATCTTTGGCAATGCTGTAATGACTTTCTCTTTCTACTATGTATCCGCTGTAGCATGCACAACGCATAAATGTGTAAAATATTTTGAACGTTTGAATTAAACGAAAAATTGCGTTTTATTGCGTTGTTTAAACATCATCAGGATATCTAGATAGCTATCTTAATCAGCGTCTCGGGTACAAAGAAGTTTAGCAAAGAGTAGCATCGAAAGTACCGTATAAATTACAAATGACTCTATGTACATTCCCATGGAAGTATGAAAAGTTTCTTTGAATCTCGAGACAACTGTGCAGTGAAGCTGAGTAATGGTAATATGGTTTGTTTGCAAACCAATTTTCTAGGCAAGACGGAGCCGACGGTATTTCTCCGTAGTGGACACATCATCAGCAAAGTCGATGAAGTTGCTCTAACCGCCCCGGGATCACGCTTCTGGCAAATAGGCGAAAAATTATTCGAACGAATCCTTCTCCCAAGACTGAAGAACGAAAAAATCAAGATGGTTTCCGAAATGGATCATAAGGTACAGAAAGAATTGCCCTGTTAAAGTCTGTTGGACACGGAAGTACCATCTGCCCATGCATGCGACATACGTCAACTTCTGAGGTCCATCTGTGCTTCAATTGCATACTACGTCATTGTACAGTAGCCAGAAGATCATTGGTACACTTAAAAATTCGGAGGAGCTTCGTTGCAACAACGGCGAAGGACTCGGTATCAGAAGACGATTCAGTAGAGGCATCCAGCAATATTCATGACAGATCACCACTGCTACTGAGCAAGTCAGCCACGGCCTAAAGGCACCAAGTGAGGACGTGTACTCACAGCGCCTCGACAGTACACCTGGAAGTGAACCCCAAGAAAGCGAAGATGATGCAAGCACCTGAAATGACTAATGACCCAAAGACTGAAAAGAGTCAGTACCATTGAAGAAGTCGAAAATTACAAGTGACTTGGTTCTGTACTGGTGAGAGATGGGGCTGTGACACGGGAGTGGAACGGCGCGCCCTGCTATGATCAACAGACTCACAGGTGGTAAAGTGCCGTAACACCGACTGATCAGGGCAGCGACCAGGATTACCATCACCATCCTAAAATCTGCCATCTTATCGGTCTCGATTTTCGGCATCAAATCATTCTTCCAAAGCGCCCCAACAAAGGTACACTTCGAAGATCGTTTTGAAAGTGTGACAGATTCATCGAAGGAAGAATGAAAAGATCCTGTAGCCGGCTTGGCCTGAAAATGCTCTTTGGATAAATCATGAGCCGGCATCTTTCATTGATTAGCACAGCCGCCAAAACGCAACGGAGACCGATTCAAAGCCATTCTCTTCTGGGAATCATAGAACCTTCTGAGGCGCAGCTCTGGCTAATACCTCATCCTAAAACAGGTTCTCGAGACCGACTTATTGGTGACAAGGCGATCATTGACACAGCATGCAACATTGCCGAAATCATTCTGAGATTGCAAAAGCATGATACATCATTCTTTTAGATTCCCGATCCTTGAACTGATGGTTCATGTTATACCATGATACCATCAGCGACAAATGGATGGTCCAAAATAAATGTGGAACGTGTCATTGTATGTGTTAGTCTGATGCTTGAACATCATAACTTCAACATGAATTCAAATGGATAGCTTATTTCCTATCTGAAAGGAGTTGCTTTGTAGAAAAATTGGCATGGTCATTAATGCACTATTCGTCAGCTCATTAGTCCTCAGTTTCAGTGTCAAAAATGTTTGTGCCTATTGCAGAGAATCAGGAGGAACTTGGTTTATTCCAGTTCACAATCACTTACCTCGCCATTGTCAATTTATTCGTTGATGCGTGTCATTGAATATACTTTCGAATAGCATAGAAAACATTTGACGGAAACAAAAGAACTCTCATTCGATTGATGTACTGCAAAAGTTGCATCGAAAACGTTTTAAATGGTTAAACAATGCTATGCAAAATAAAACAGATTAAGTACTATCTATCCAGTCACAGAGTAGGTGTATGCACTAGATCAATCCTGTGCAATTGATTGCGATTGGCTACTGGCTGAAGTAAATCTCTCAGAGAGGTGGTGAAATGCTGTCCCTGGTCAAGTTTGTCTTGGAGAGGTTCCCTGTTCAGTGAAAGTTTGATTCTGATGGAGGAAGTGCAGAAAACTTTATACTGCATTGCGTGAAAGAGTGAAACAGGATTGAGATAATCTCCGTAGATGGCATGGTATTCGAGCTGAACGAATCGGAAAGAGTCGGCGAACGCGCCTGTAATAATAAGACTCTGACAGAAATCGAAATATTTCAAAGGAACTCCTCGTTTGAGATATCAGCCGTCACAATGAGCGAATAAATAAAAATCTATGACGGAAAATAATGCTTGTCACTTTTGTAGCATTTGCTTAGCAAACGTAATATAGTTCTCGGTCGTTCAAATTGCCAATGATGAAGAATATGTCAATTAATTACTTATTTCCTTAGAACGCAAGAATGGAAGTTAGATTTAAAGCGTTTGTAAGCAAGAAGTAGTGGAGAAAGGTTCAAACTAGACAAAATTTCATAAGCCAAATTTATAGCCGAATTTTTTAAGAGTCAACTCATTTTGCCGGGGTAAAAGCACTGTGCCTTTGCATTTAAATGTCTGAGAGACAACTTGAGCAGATAATAGGTTCGTAGTATTGATCATTTGATCAGTGTTGACACATTTGTTTTGTGAGAAATAAACGGATTCGCGAACAATGCAAAATACTATGCGAATGCAAGTATATAAGCAAATGATAACAGCGATATTTTCATGAGCCTACCACAAATACCAGATTTCAATTCCGCCGGTAAGGATATGAAGTGAATTTGCCAATTTATGATCTTCTTCTCAATTTCTATAGTATAGTTTTTGTTCCTTAATGAGAATGAATGCCAGATTAGTTGAGGCTACCTCTGATGATAAGAAGAAGAATATTATCGCTGCGTTTGAAACTCACGTCATGTCACGCCACAAATGATCAGTCAATGTGCAGTTTCGGCAGCACCAGCTATGAGTCACGTTAATGCTAAGCACTACACCACACAACAGCACATTGATCTCCAGCTATTCAGTTTTAGGAGCAGTACACCGACTGGCTCCAGTAAAATGTTTAATGATGTCTTGCAAAGAAGGAGAGGCATGGTGCACCTCGTGAAAACACAGCGTCTATCAAATAATTGCTGAAAGATGACAGGTCATAATCTTCGCAAATCAGAACAATTAGGATTGTACTACTATTATATACGGCATATCAATTGGTCACATAGTCAAATGTTCTTAGGTTATCGGGGAAAAATCTCATCAGAACTCAATCTCTTAGTACTGACGGTGCAGAATCGATTGTGAAAACCAAACATTCGTTCGAAAACATTTATTAGAACCTGTGCATCAGTTACAGTACATCAAATGGCAGGCTTTGTATGCAGGAATATGTTCTTAAATATGCTAGTAGTTGTTGCGAAACGACCGCTGATTTCATAGCTTCCTTCCAGAAGTAAGAAGCTAGTAAAAGTTTCGTGGGCTATCTGGCCATCCTCTTCCTGTATTGTGATACCTCGGACGATCAGACGATGGCATGCAGTTATGGCAAATGTATCGTTTCTCTCTGAATGCATCTGCAAGCACGTCCATCATTCCTTGAAATTCTAAACAACATTGGATTAGATACGCAAATTTAAACATACGCAAGATTAACTGTCATCAAGCTCACTGTTTAACATTCTAATTTCTAACAGAGCGATTTTGGCATGTGCTAACACATTTGATCTTGATGACGCTATTCAGTTCTGCCATATCTGAACTGAATTTGGCTTCGATCAGCGTTAGGCTACAAAGTCTTATTTGCAAAGGTTGTTTTGGAGGGAATAACGACGAAGCACTCAAAACTGTTCATGTAAGCCCGAAGAATGGTCACTCTTTGTGAGATATTGTTTCTACGTGTTCCGGAAATGACACGATCAAAGGCAGGTGTGAGGGAACATTGAACAGAACGTTTCACAGGGCATAACGATATTGATTATAAGCAACTTTATGTGAATTCAACAAAGATGGGATTCTATTCAGCGCTTCTTCAGAATAAAATACCTACCACCCCCCTCCCTTAGATCAGGCTGCTGGGTATCACGCTGTAACGATGTATGTCTAGAGCTGACCAACTGATGGCACGACGACCTTTCTTGAAATGCAATGCTTTAGAATTCAAATTTGATTAAAAAATTATTGAAATCTGATTATTTTATTCCCTTACACCAAAACGCCAACTTGATCGATTTATCATATGAAGGTGGGTATCCCAAATCTCTGCTTTGTTCATATTAAAACTGTGTTTGAAAATACCAAAATAATGCAATGCGCAGCAATATTATAACGAAAAGTTCTAACTTACCTTGACAACTGATCATCGAGAAGACCAGAGCTATCGCGAGAACGGC